GCTGCTGTTCGAGAGCATGGACTTTGACCATAGCGGGACCATCACGCTCGACGAGCTGCAGTACGCGCTCAAGCAGCAGGGGTCGTGGCTGGTCGAGTCGGAAGTGCAAGCGCTATTGGATGCGGTGAGGGGGAGAGTACGCGGAATTTTCTGAACTTGGGGAGTACGAGATTCAGGGTGCGGATTTTGAAGTTTTGTTTTTGCGGATCAGGTTTCGAACGGGTAAAACCGGGGTTTCACAAAGTGAAGCTTCAGTCGATCCGATACCATTATCTTGTCGTGGTCTCGTTTCGATCTGGCAATAAAATGGTATCGAATCGACTGAAGCTTCACTGAGTGAAACCCTGGTTTTACCCGTCCGAAAAGTGGATCGAACATTGCCCATCCGGAATCGAAATCATCCGAAATAGGGCGCACCAGTCGTAGAGCTCATAGCAGCAAGGGTCAAGTCTTTTCGAGTCGGAGGTGCAAGCGCTGCTAAGTGCGGTGAGGCACAGTCAGATTTCGTCAAGAAGGATTTTACGTTGACGCGGTTCTATCGTTTTTACCATCTGTGGTACAGCAATCCAGCTGGAAATCCGGCCCATGCATTTGCAATTACTCTCGCAGGCATTGCCAAATCTCCGTAAGTCCTTTGTTGAAAGATGTATTGAGTTGAGGTATGCTTTACTGGGTCACAGAACTCGAGATTGTGGAGCACAAGAAATTGCCACGCTAAGCGAGCTGAGCTGTAAGAGGCTCACAATCTGAAATGGTCCTGTCTCAGCCAGTCTGATATTGATCCGCTGCTCGTTCTATCAGCTTTATTGGTTGATCAAAGGAAGCAATGACCTTGATTTGCATTCTCGTCCTTGTGTTTGCTTTTTAATCAGGCTCGCCAGACAAATCCGGTGTTTTAGATTACCCTTCTGACGGCAGCCGGACGTTGGTCCCAACGGGACGATTGACTAGACGAGTTCACTGCTGCGACGATGCATTTCCAATTTGGGAAGGGAGCTTCACAAAGACAAGCGCACCAAAGCGCCTCAGAATGCCTTTATGATTTACCCCTTCCTGTCAATCCCTGTTATGATGTTTCCCGGATGCAGAAAAACGTCGATCAAGACGACCACTAGGCGCTTCTGCCAAAACCGAAAAGGCACAGTTCTGCAGAAAAGGCACTTCTTTTTCTCAACAGCCTTTCTCCTCGATAATAGGTCATTCATTCTCTCACCAACTCTATCAACTGTCTAAGGACGTTCTGGATTTGGCGGGCGGACATTGGTCACGACAGGACGATTGATAACGTAATTGCTATCAGATGCAGTTCTGCAAAATTAGAAAAATAGGGTCTTTCTAAGAACGGATCTCATCCTTAGGTAACGGTCCTTGATGTCTCACCGAATCTTATAAAGGCTTCGAAGGGGAAGGAACCCTGAGCATTTGTGAACGCAGGCGGACGTCTATCATCTGACTGCGACGTGTACATCGCCGCGAAAATGGACTCACCATCCCTTGAAGTTCTTGTCCTTTGTTTTGCTCGTTTTTCTTGCTCTTAAAAGTCCTCCTAGTCCCTTAAGTGTGTTGTTATTGTGACATTCGCAGGCGGACATTGATCACGACGGGACGATCGACTACGACGAGTTCATCGCTGCTACGATGCACTTTTGTCAACTAGAGAAAGAGGAGCATTTGCTCAAGGCGTTCCACAGCTTCGACCACGACAACAACGGGTACATCACCAAGGAAGAACTAGAGAAGGCGATCCAAGTGATTGGTCTGGATACGACGGAAGACGGGTCGGCGGAGGACATTATAAAAGTGGCGGATGAAGATAACGTGAGCAAGAACTGTCTAATTTTCTCAGCTTCTTTGGTCTTGGATGCTTTTCCGCTGTTTGCAGTGGCTGCTCGATTCAAGGACGGTGCTTTTGGCAATATTGTTGGTTGCTTTTTGTGGATTTGGACAGTGTTTGAAAACAGCGAAGTACGTAAGGCAGCGAGGTAACGGGCAAGATTAAGAACCTTGACAACTTTTCAAAAGTTGATCATGTTCGAAGTGTCTAATTCTAATATTTTCCCCATTACTTCTAGCCTTATCATTTTGCAGAGCATGTTAACTCTTTACCGGGGTCTTTACGGACGCTTTGCAAGAAGCTAGGAAGGATTGATCCTTTACAAGCAGCCCAACTGTTGTCGCAGTTCATCCTCAACCCTTCACCTCGTTCCCCTCTCTGATTGTAAACGAAAGATCCGCTGATTTTCGTTCTCGCAACCTCCTTCTGCTCTCAGGACGGAGTGATCGACTACAAAGAGTTCCAAACGATGATGCGACGAACGTCGAGTCAAGCGAGCAGGGCCAGCAAGAGCGAGGGCGTTCCGTCGCCCCTGCCGTCGCCAAGCAGAACGGAGCAGAACGGAACGGGTTTCGGGAAGCGTTGACGGAAACGGGGGGTTCTGCAGTGTTTGTCTGTAGGTTTGAACCCCACCTAGAGTTGAGGATCCTTCATGTGAGCGCACCTGGGGAAAGCTTGGAACCTTGTAAATGTTTGTGGGCGCATTTGGGTCGTGTGTGGGGATAGGGCAGGTTTCGGTGCGCCCGGTTAGCCTGATAACCTGAGCTTCTTAGCTACTGATATCGTCAAAAGGAGTTGTTCAAAGGCGTGATTGTATTGTTGGAGCGTCTTAGGTGAAAGTCAGAGCGTTCGTTGTGTAGTTCAATTGGATATACGAAGTGCGGAACGGACGCTAACCCGACGAGCGCCACGGTCAGGGTGCTCGAGATCGCTTAGAACATGGCCTTGACCTGACTTCGAACCAGATGGTCTATATAAAACCGAACCAAAAGGTATGCTCGACGGATCTGCTCGGTGGCCGGGAACTTCGCCAGGTCAACGACGCCAACTTAGGCACTGAAGCACGGACTGAGCGATCCGAGCCTGGAACTGCAGCATAAGAGTTGATTGGCATGGATCGTATTCGGCCTTCACAGAGGCGTCACCATGCAACACTCACAATGCATGCTGGCACGTATCAGAGTAGCTCAACTTATGGGCCCTTGCATTCAGAATACTAAGTAGTTAGGCACATGCATGCATTTGAAGGCATGTCATTCAGTCACTGAGTGTCCGGCGGGGGGCAAGTTGAGACATTCGATTGAACCTTAATTGATCGACGGTGGAGTCCACACATGATGCATGCGGCGCTGGGGGCGAGGCTGGGGTCCATGGGCTGGCTGCAGCTATAGTGACTCCGCATGCTACCCCGCGATCCATATGAAGCACCATGTTGCCGCGCGAGCCCTAGTACCCATCAGACTGCATTGATTCTTCCGATGGTTTGCTTTGGTGGCGGCCGCCATGGTTAAGTGTGAGGGCCCCATGAGAGCTTTGCGTGTGGTTGTCACCAGCTCACTGAATCATTCCCTAGCTGAGAACAGTTTGTGCAAAGTTTGGCAGGCTGTTGGCGCAGCACGATTCAAAAGCGACTCAGCTGAATAGCAACTTACTTACTTTCCCTTTCCTATCATATGACTAATCCTAGATCGACCACAACACAATTCAATCAACTACTTTTACAGTTGCACCCACGCTTCGCAAGGGTGCTGCTGGAAAAACCATGCAATAAAGGTCGAGTTGGTCTAAGTTCGACTCCGGTGCATTCTAGAACCCAGTCTGATTAGTGTTAGCCGTGATTGTAACTCTGTAAGCAGCTGCAGTTTGCTACCGCCTCAACTTGTATCCTAGAATTCAATGTAAGCAACTCAACAAAATTTTGCCCAGATTCATTGCCTCACTCGGAGGTTTGGGCTGGTTATCGCAGCGCCGAGCTGCATGGTTTCCGTCCTACACCTCCTAGGTACCAGGTCGTTTCGGACCCCTTCTCCTGATCGGGATCGTCGAGACTAAACGACCGGCCAACGGAAACATCGACGAGGCCCGCTGCTTGGAGTCCCCGCTCGAGCTCGGCTCCGCTGAGGCCTTCTCGCACTACATGTTCCTGAAAGGCGAGGGATCGAGACATGATCGGTCTGCCAATTGAAGGAGGCTTGGCTATTGAAGCAACTGCGAGGCTCATTTGACTCTCAGACCGGTCTGTAAGAGGTTCGGAGCGTTTTTAAGCGGAGGCCTGACCTTGCAACGGTGCCCCTCGTTTCGGAATTAACGAGAGACGAGACTAGCTCTTCTCACGACTTCGTACTAGGGCTAAGCCTTTGGAACAAGGGGCCAAAAAGCAAACGCCTGACAGGAGAAAGAGCAGCGAACCTTGAAGCTCACAGACCCGTCTGACTTGACTCCCCGCCAAGAAATAAAAAATGGGGTTAAGAAATCTAGAGACGCTTGTGTTTGATGAAAGGTCTTCTTCAAGAGGCAAATACTGACACAGCAGTTCCAAGATGACAAAACAGGATGGCACCAACTTACCTGATGATTCCCATTTAACTGAGGGGCCACATCCCCTGCGCTTTCAAGGTCAGTAACGAACAACCAGCCCCCGGGCCGTAATACTCGCAGAAGAACCCCCAAAGCGGCAGAAAAATCTGGTAAATGGCGGAGCGCCCGATGGGAGAAGACTACGTCGAAGCCCCTCTCGTCAGGCAGATAATCCTGCATGAAGAATCACAACGTCCAAGTTTGCAAGGCAAAACAGAGTTTACAAATGAACTTCCATTGAATGCAAGAATTACGACATGGGCCGCAGTTTCAAACTAAAAGTAGAGGGCAAATTTTCAAACAAAAGCAGTGGTGCAAATGTGCCTGGATTTGAACAAATTCGTGAGGTTATGAAGCAGACTGTCTTGAAAGGTAGGCTGCCATATGTCGATGGGGAACGGCCAAGGGCACGGCTCTCTGAACGCTTTTTCGAGTAACAACGGGGCACAGGAAGCGGTTCATTGCAACAAAACCTCATTGAGCCAACAATAGAATCTCTTGGAAGAGAAAGGCAGATGGTGACTACCAGTGGTACACCTCAGCTAAGCCACAAAGCTCAAATCAGCAGAGCCATGGAAATCATCTGAGAAAAGGGGAAGACCAAATAGCAGCACCTGCAATTGCTTCGGGTCCTTCAACTCCATTCGAACGGCTGCCATTTTGTCCTGCAGCTTCAGACTCGCTGCCTTCGCTTCAAACCGCTTGACCAGACCCTTTGATCGGTCAAGCCCCAGAACCGCTCCGACCTGCACAGCTGCAGGCCAGCTTCAGAGTGCACGTTGAAGTCTTTGTGAGACCACCGGGTGTCCGATTTGAATGGCACCTCAAGGCGCAAGTATCCAGATAGCTGCGGGCCCCCCGCTTTCTCACATTCTGAATGTCCTTTAAAGAAAGGATATATTCAGAGTCTTCTTCATATCAGGCAAGAACTCGAGGCTCCCACTGCTCAAAGGGCTCAGAGTACAAAACATTGATTTTGCAGTACACTGTATCTTACGTAACCCCCAAGAAAAAAAGCATACCTTTCGAGCAATCAATGCTGTACATAGGCCACTCCCACACCCCAACTCGAGCACCGTGCTCTCAGCCGTGAGAGGTACCGCCAATAAGAATGCCTGCACGGCTTTCTCCGCAGCCTTTGGCGCCAGGGCGCTAGCTTCCCATTCCTTTGCAGCTCGCACACAGGCCTTGTGGTGGTCCACGTGGCCATTGGACGGCCGTTCGGTGCGCGTTTCCTCCGCCATGGGCTCTCTAAGTCCAGAATAATCGTCAATGTTCCATCAGAAATGCATGCAGAATGTAGACTGAATACTTTCTTGGGGATCTTGTCGAAGCAGGTATATTAAACACACACCGTCCTCTTTCCGAAGCATCGCCTCTCGTACGCCCCTGCGGAAAGTTCTCATGCAAACAGGCATGCACTGCACTCTATGTACAGTCGCTGGAGCAAACCCTAATCCAGGGTCAGACTTCAAATATTTGTTGACACCTACATATTATTGTGAAAGTAACTTTATAAGCAGAGGCTGATTGCTTCTTGCAGCCTCGTGGGGAGTAGACCCGGGCGGTCGCAAGAAAGTGCAGTGTGCAGCGGTGTAGTACTCACAAGCACTCGGGGCGTTCCACTGATCCATAATCTACCACCGGATATGGTTCTAGAGGATTATACATATACGCTATACATTAAACTCCAAAGTTTAGGCACTTGATATCAGCGCGCGCAAGACGCGCATCCAAGCCTTGGTGATCACCTTTTGCATTGGCAATATGACGCTCTGAGTCTGACATTTGATGTGAATGTTTTCTCAGAATTGTCTTCGCAATTGGCGCCCAAAGTCGTGGAGCTAGGAAGCATCAGAGCAGTCGTCAACAATGGATGCTCTTTCTGCGCAGCGCGCCCGCGAGACTCTGGACATTGCTCACGAGATCTCCAAGCTCCTGAACACGGGCCTCGACAGGGACACCCTCTCGGTTCTGATTGCGCTCTGTGAGAATGGGGTCAACCCTGAAGCCCTTGCGGCAGTTGTGAAGGAGCTCCGTAGAGAGGCAGCGGCGCTGCGCTCTGCTGCGGTACATAAGAAGTGAAGAATCGCAGGGTGGCTTTATCTGGACTGATAGCTCTGCCTTTCTACTGTAAATTGTTTTACATTTTTCTGCCAACAAGTCTACAAGTGAACAGCATATGTGTTTCACACCAGGTTACTTTGCTCAAGGTGCCTTCTTGCTTAGGCAGACCATTCCTGGCCTTTAATCGTACCAGTCCGCACATATATTTTCAGGAGTGAGAGACTCCACACAATCTCAATCAATTCAGCCAATTTTTACTGCCAACTGTCCTTGGGGTAGCAAGCAAGCCTCTTCCTCATGCGGACCGTCGATCAGCAGACACTTGGCAGCCCCGCGCTCAGCGAACTGCAGATAAGAGCCGCTGAGGCTGCCGGCGCAGCAATCAAGAGATGGCAGCAGGGGGGACTGTCACGCAGGATGGTTCTGGGAGTGATTGGCTCATTGGCAGCCCTGTGGGTGCAAGGCTTCAACCGGAGCCGAGTGGTCAACAGAGAAGGACTGCTCAGGGCTGTCAGAGAGCGGCCCGCGGGGGTGCCGCTCATCTCTTGCTCAAACCACATGTCGACGTGAGTCTGGCCGGCTTTCGGAGCTGTTGCCAGTATCAGTGTACTTCTAGAAGTTGACCTCTATTCGTGCGCCGTTGGAGGCTTGTTACAGATATTTATGACGCTGTTGACTTTCACCAATTTGACAGTTGAGGCAGAATGTTCCAGCTATGCTTTGGCAACTGACTTCTAAGATGTAGGGTGGGAAAGTCCCTAACAGGAGACGCTTGAAAGAATCAGCGCAGCCATTCCAAGGAGGTGGTGCGGTTGGACCACCTCTGCTGATTATCCATCTCTGTGAACTGCATAAGAATATGAACCAGTCTACATTGAAGTAGAATCAACTTCAGCCTATACTGGAGGACTCTGACCTATGACGATGGACCTTGATGCAAGTCCGCGAATTAGGCTGGTGGATATAATAATTGTTTTTAGGGTCTACACTGTCGATTCAAGCAAATGACTTTCTCAAAGTCAGAGATCAGAGCATGGTTTTTGACGACTTCTTGCCACACCGGCTGTGCCTTGCTTCAGTCGCTGCTTGTTCCTCAATTTTTCGGGTCTGAATCTTTTTAGTCTTTCACCCAAAGCTATCTTACCAATTTTCTTTAAGCTGCTTGCCTTTCCCCAATTCTGCAGCCCTCTAATCAATCCTGTCTCGATATCTTGCTTAAATATGCTTGCCCTTCTCCAAATTGTGCAGCTTAGATGACCCCTTGATGTGGGGCGCGCGCGGCCTCCCAAGGTTCAACCCTGCAAACACGCGCTGGGTGCTTACAGCGGAGGACATCTGCTTCACAAACCCCGTCTATGCCTACTTCTTCCGGCTGGGTAAGGACATCTTTTGTCCACTCAGGGTGTGTCTACAGACCCTGTCCCACGTCCGTCTTCCGAGTCCGTTTCTTGAAAAAGCGTTCGGCATGTTGAGTTCAGGAGTCATCCTCTTCGTATTCTTCACCCGCTTTTGTGTCGTTGAACGTACGTTCTAATATACAGCCCCATCTCATTCGTTCTCCAACAAAAAAGTCTGTTCGATATCATGTGAGGCATCTCATTGTTCTTCCAGAGACGTCAACTTTCCCCGCAGAACACTGTGCCGTCAATTTAGACCCTCAAGCTGCAGTTCTTCTTTGGTTAGTTTCCGTCAAGTCGACCAGTTCGCTTTCGTTGAGGCTCGCTTATCTTCTTTCGACTGCTCAGCGCTGGCTCCTTTGCCATTCGTCCACCCCGTACAATGTAAAGATCCGTAATCGCATCTTCGTTCTCTATCCAGGCCAGTGTATACCCATCAGGCGAGGAGCCGGCGTCCACCACGAGTATGTTTTGGAGGTGCTTGCCCGGATCAATCGTGGGGAATGGGTAAGAGAATATTTTATGTCTGATCCTCTTAAGAGCTGGCGATGTGTTAAAAGCCAGCTTTCTGAGAAAAAGTTCTGAAAGTGGGAGCGCTACTTCGCGGCTTGAAGCGACTAACGCGAGTAAGAATATATTTTCTCCCAGAAGAGTCGAGATTATCGCATACTTCTGCGCTCTTGCTTTCGTTGGAGATAGTACGTCGACCTTTGTAACATTCCAGATGCAGGAGTACTACAAATGCAGGGCAAAGCCTGGCCGACAGCCAAAGACCGGAATTGCTAAGAATCGGGAAACGAATTGAGAGTGCACTTCGAAAGCCGTGGAAAATTTGCACTCTAGAAACTCTTCAACGGTGGACTCCAGCAAAATAATTGCCTAGGATGCCTTAACTTTCTGTGCAGGTGCACACGTTCCCCGAGGGCAAGATCCAGCAAGAGCTCGGCCCCCTCCCCCGTCTCAAGTGGGGCATCGGCAGCCTGATCGCGCGCGCTTCCACGCCCCCCATCGTGTTGCCCGTCTGTCACAGCGGCTTTCAGCAGGTGAGGCAAACTAAACATCCATTCTTTTGTAATTCACTCTGGGTGCCTTTTGAGAGTGTCTGTCAGGTACTCGCTTGAGGTTATCTCGATCGGGAGAGTGCTTTTTCGAAGCCCAAAACTGTGCACCGAGGGCCCTGAGTTCAAACCTTGTATGTTGCCTCGGTTGGCGAAACTGTTCAGCAGATAACACGGTCAGCTCTAGTCGTTGGGCCATTCCGTTCGCATCCGGCCCTCCAAAACCACTGCAATCATAGGCCCGTCGTCTCAACAGTAACTGGCGACCGAACGGCTGAAAGTTGTCTGTAGGTGGGAAACTCGACGCATGCTCGATGATCTGGAACCTTCCCGCCTCCTCAGCCCACTAAACCCCGCAGCCACTTTTTCTACAGCCCCCAGAACCGCGACTCCCTGTCCCATACAGATGCTCCCGCAAAAGACGACCTTCCTGGGCATCCAATCCGGTCGCCCGAAACTGCCCCTCGTCGGCAAAAACGTCACTATCGTGGTCGGCGACCTGCTCGAGTTCGACGTTCCGGCGCTGAAAAAGGAAGCGGAATCCGCTGTGGCGCGAGCGAAAGCGGAGGGGAAAGCGTTTCCTTGGGAGGCTGCGGTTGGCGAGGCGGAGAGCGCAAGCGTGACGAGGCCAGGGGAGGGTCAGCGAGGTATCGAGGTGCGTTTTCATTTTCCGTCAAGTCATTGCTTCGTGTTTTGTCTGAGGGTTGTTGCTTTGCGTAAGATCGGCAGGTCGAGGCTTCGTGTACTTGTGCCAATTCCTTTAAGATGAACGTTTCTTGAAGGATGTACGGTTCTGGGACTGGACAGCAACTGCAGCGCGCTTTGTTCTGCTGGAAGTCCCCTGCTGTGCGGCCTGAGTTTGACAGCGAACGATTTGAGGGCTTTGTGGGCCCGAGGAAGAGTCGTGTTTTTTCGTTATTTGCTTCGATGTCGTTTATTTTTGGATAACTCTGTAATGATGTGGTAGGGACAGGGTACAAAGTAGGACCGACGTGTCTTCTGTAGATTTGTCTGCGTGTATGCCCGAAATAGGCGACACAGCCCCTGTGTTATGTGTGGTGGGGGCCTATAAGGGAGGCTGCAGTATCATTAGGACTGTAACGTTTGCAAGTCTGTAAGCCGCAGTGATGGGCGCTTCTTTTCCCGGTCTGGTCTCTCGATGTTTCGGATGCTTCCACGGCACGGGTTGCGAGGTGGCCCGTTCGCTCAATACAACGTAACGTAATCATCCTGGGTGCTGCTCCTGTCTTTGGACATGCGAGGTAAGACGAACGGAGAATCAATTGAAGTGATTTTTCCAAACCGCTGCAAACACGATTTCAATCGCCTGTCACTTTTTGTCTTAGCAAGGATGAAGTTCATGCATCGAAGAAAGAGTTGGTAAAGACAACTGCGAATCGTCTTTGCAAAGTTGCTGACTCATCTGCTGGTTGCCGTGTGCAGGAGTCCATTACCCCGCGTGCCAGCAACAAGGCCACTGCTTCGACAGCGCAAGCGACGCTGCCTTTGATGCCCGAGGACAACGCTACGAAGTGGCTGTATGCAGAGATCAGCGAACGCATCCGCGTCAAGATGGAAGAGCTGGCTTTCGAGGCCCACAGATTGAACGCAATGGGCAGACGATGGTTCATGTCGAAATAATCTGTGGCTTCACTGCCACTTGTACTTCGAGTACCAGCATTGCGCTTCCGTCGTCGATACTCGAAGCCGCTTTTTATCGGTTGCGACGGGACCAATTCCTTGCAAGCGCCCGGGACACGCTCTCTTCGACATAGAGGATGATGCGGCGTCGCACTGCAAGGCAGCACCGTTGCGCCAGGTTGCACAGTGCGCTAGCATCCGATCGACCCTCGTACTGATGTTGTGTGCTTCGACCATTGTCTGGCAATCGACGTTGACCGCAGCCTATGCATGTACATGTAGCGGACTCGACGGTACGCGCCCGCTTCGTGTAGGGGGTATACGGCACGCATGTAGCTGAGGCTGGCCCGAGTTTGGCTTATGCAAGTGGATTTTAATCAGCGTGCAAATTCTATCCAAATCAGAATGCCTCGTGCTTGTGTTTCATCACGAGGTTATCCATCGAGATCGGTCCCCCTGCAGCGGGCCGCCCTGTGGCCGGGATCCCTGGCAATCAACTAAGCTTTAGCTAGCTCTATCGCTGTTAAGTTAGTAATCGATATACCGCTCATGCCTAGCTGACCGTCGACATCCGCGACGGAGGCACAGGCGCCGGCGCGGCTGCCAGTGACCAGATATGTAACGATTCTTGTTCAATGATTGTGATTCAGACTTTCAACAGGCGCGACGGTAGCGCCTGCATGCATAATTACAATCATGGATTCGAATGCATGACATGATCTCATGAGGATGGCGCACTGGCATTCGCAGCCGCCTGGGCCGATCGTGCAGAACATTCGATTCCGGACTGTGCACGACAGTACCTTTCATACCAAAAGGAGAACAATCTTCACAATGGCCGCCTTCATGTGTGACGAATTAGATGGGTCGAAACAAGTCAGTGGTAGCATAGGATGCGGCAAAGGAGTGCCTGGACGTGAAGGCATGCATGTTGAAGCTTTGACGTGGGGTTCTAATCAAACCATATTAGCCAGGTTTTGGGAAGTAAAAACATTGTGTACAGAAACGTAGTGTATAAGAAGGTCGTGCCACTACGGGTCAGTACGTTCTGCGCTGCCGCGCACACCACACGACAAGTCCACAACAACTCCGCTCAAATCATCTATGTAATTCACCGAGTAAAGTACACAGTTACGAAACGGTGTGCATCAAGAGTATGAACACCCGCCTAAAACTCCGATTACGATCGAGTCAGTCTATGCTGCAACCCAACCGACCGCTAGCCGACGGCGGGCACGAGAGTACGTTACAAGCGCGCTAGAAACTGGCTTTTTTCTTTTCGACGTTAATCCGATGTATCGGATGCAAACTCATCTATGCGTCAAGTCACTAACTCTCACGCATTTTGATGCAATGGTTTTGAAGCATCAAAACCAGTACAGGGTTTGATGAACTGGTGTTCAAACCAAGTTGACGTAGCGTCGCGCTGACGGTTATCTACGTCATTCGATGCGGGCTCGAACCAGTCTGGCAACCCCCAAAAAAGCCGGTTAACCCCCAGCTTTTCCGTCGCCGTTTTCGTCGGTGACGTCCTCCCGGGGCACCGAACCGGCCAGTTTTCTAAACCCCTGCCAATTCCGTTCCGCCTGTTCCATCATTTTCCCCTCTCCGATTTTGGCGGCCATCTCGTCCCAGAGCAGCAGGCAGTTGACGTCAGCATCCGCGTGGAAAAGCAGCAGCACGCCGCCCTCGCCCTTCGTGGAGTGGGCGTACTCGGGCACCTGCAGCGGAACAGCGGAACCGGAGCGGAACTTCAGCCAACTGATCGACGAGAATGGGGCATGCGAAAGGTCTGGAAAGCGTTCAACGTAGACGAAGTTCTAAAGTTCTCAGGGGGATCTTTTGTAAACATAGAATGTTTAGAACACGGGGGCGAAGAAAAGGTAGATCCCGTCTTTCAAGTAGTCAGTAGCTTTCATTCGTTGGTCGAGGAGACAAACGTTCACAGCACGACGAGTGAAACGAACAATGAACACAGCAGCACCTTCCCACAAGTGGGGGGCCGTAAGAGCCCTCTGCGGACATCATGTCACATAGCTTGGGGCTCACAAGTGTGACAAGAACCTGCTCGACAGCTGGAATTGCCTCCCGTGTTTCGCAGGTACGCTGAAGGGCATGCGAATTTGCAACCCCACTTGCAACCCCCACCTTCCCCACCTTCTGACACGTGTGTAACAGACAGAATGGCCGAATAGCAACAGCGAAAAGCACAAGAGAGACTATCTTGCAAGATGTGGGTCCGTTGACAGGAATGCCATCTCCGCATCCCCATCAAGTTCTGGTTCAAGTGGGAGAGACGGATTTACAGCTGGAAACGGCGAAGAGCAGAAAAGAGACCCTAGCTCAGCTCGCAAATAAGGGAACGGGGGCGACAACATGGAACGCTTGACTTTCCACCATATTCACGTTCTGTCGATGTGCGACACTTGATTCCGCAAGTGGAAATGCCGAAGAGCGAAATATCTTGCAATAAGAGGGACGCCAGAAGGCAAGCAATATTTGCATCCAACCATCTTCGAGTTCTGATACTTGTGAAAGAAAGGTAAGTCGCGAGTGGAAACGCCAAGATGCGGAAAAAGGATATTCGCGCAATACGAGAGGTACCCACAAAGACATAAAATGTTTGTTCCATACCATCTTAACGTTCTGGTACATGTGCCACGCGCACCAACCGCCGAAGGCCGGTATGTACCGCCCGGTATCCTGCGCAAACTCCTCCAACTCCCGCTTGGCCTGGAAGCGGTACTTGACCCCAAGCACCTGCACAGGAGACCGTTTATTCACAGGTTTCAAGAAAAACCCCGGTTAAGGGGGTAACCAGGCTTGAGCAAAACTTCACGAGAGCTGGTAACCCTTCCAAGCACTTGCAAAGAACAGAGGTTTTGGCGGCTTCCGAAAAAGCTTCATCGAGGGGCGGTGTGATTGATCCCAAGCACCTGCACAAAGGAGCGTTTCCGCGGCTTCAAGATGAGCTTATTCAAGGGGCGGTGAGCCTCTTTTAAGCACCTGTGCACGAGAGCGGTTCCACGGGTTTAAAAAATCCTTAGTTAAGAGCGGTAAGCGGTTCCAAGCACCTGCACAGGCGGGCTCTTCGGCGGCTTCAAGTAAAAGCCTAGTCAAGGGACGGTCAACGAGTCCAAGCCCCTGAAAGACGAGCGGCTTCTGCGGCCTCCAGTGAAGCTTCGTCGATGGGCGGTCATGTATTTCAAGCACCTGAAAAAAGGAGCTTCTTTTGCAGCTTGCTAAAAAGCTTCAGCGAGGGGCCGTACCAGATCAAAGCACCTTCACGGGGAATCGTGTCGGAGGCTTCAAGCAGGCTTGGTGTGGGCGAAAACCAGGTGCGTTTGAAAGCTTTTGTTGCATCAACTGGCTTTCTCGTGAACCGGCTACTTGGACCGAAGAACCGGTGCAGAGGAGCATTCCTACGACCTGAGCGAGCTTCGTCTAGCGACACGATTGGGAACTTTCCAGATCGCTCTCTGCATCTACCGGCGTCACAAGGGCTTCGAATCAGTTTTGTGTCGTTTGCGATCAGACGATTCCTAGGTTGAAACAGCTCGTTGCTCCGGAATACAGGAGATACGAGCTAGACCCATTCGGGGGCGAGCAATTCTTAGCAACGGCTGAGTCGTCGCAGTTTCAAGAGCCACAGAGAAGTCCCAAAGCCACAGAAAGTCGTGAAAAGCTCAAGCGTATGTTTTCAACCGATGGTTCCATCCGACTGCCTTTGATTCGATCCTAATTGGACGCGCGATGTCATCATGGAGACCAAGGCTTGAATTCGGTTGCATCTCGGAAGGAGAACATTTGGGAAACAATATGGAGCTTCGTGTTGGGACGAATTTTGAAAGCACAGATGGAGAGCCCATGATAGATCGGAATCTGCACCTTCAAGACCTTTCCCGCAATCCTGTCGAGCATTGGAGTCTGCACGTGGTCTGAGACTACGGTCTTAACTGACAATTCAACCATGCCACCAATGGAAAACGCTGAAACACCTCCCTTGAATACGGGAAAAAAGATCAAGATATCTGAAGTTCCTTACTGAAGACGATTCCAACCTTCAGTTGGGGCGATCAAGACGACTGAGCAGCTCAAAAAACGACAGCTCTACTTCCCAAACGCAAAGAAGTCTACTTCTCAAACGCAACTTCTTTGAGCAGATTTGGAACGAATCCTTATAACTTTAGTTCGCTTTGAAGTGAGGATACACGATTAAGCAAGCGCCTTTCTAACTGAAAAGGACACGAGATGAAAGGCAGCAACACCAATTGCTCTCGAGAATCGTTGATGGTTGGGGTTTCTGCCTGGTGACACTTTTTAGAAAATCTGGTCTATGTTTGGCCAAAGCCTTATGCTTTTGGAAAGAGATCTGAACTCTCAAATACAATTTTCCAGCTAGGGTTTGTATAACCCAGCTAGCAGAGCCGCCAGACAAGCAGCGTTTGAGCTATGTTCCGCTTAACCCGGCAATAGAAGCCGCCAAAAGTCGGGGTTTCGTACCGCAAATGTGATGTCCTCCCTCCCTAGACAGGGCTTCCCGCGAAAGACGGAAAGTGGGCTGTATCCGCCGAGCGCCACGTTGTCATCCCCAGAGACGTTCTCCGGCAAAAGCAGCTGTATCGTGCATCCGTCCATTCCGTCCCGGTGCTGGTTCCGCCGGAATCAAACCCGTGTCTGAAAAGCGAAGGGAATCTGGTCAAAGTCTGAGGCAGTACCAAATCCTTCGAAACGCTTTGCTTGTAAGTCACAAGTCCCAAAAGGAATGCCTTCACTTACCATATTAGAAAAAAGGAGCTCACCACTCCTTGATCGAGAGCCTGTACAAGAGAGAGTGGTTTTCTTTCACCCCCACGAGATTCAGAGAAGCTCAACGATCCTGAACGAGCCGGCCTTAAAGAGCGCTTTGCAGAGCGCACTATGCTGTATTTTGCAATCCACTTCGTCTCCGTGTCTAGAAGGTGAACGCCATGTCGACCGCAAAGCTGGTTCCAACAACCAATCGAGCTCGCACTCAACAAGTAAACCTTGTTGCAGTCTGTCCATTACTCAGTGTACCCAATCCACAGTTTCAGCTTGTAGACGTGGCCCTGCTTGACGTTGATAGAAAGATTTATCGAGCTGGTATGATGCTTTAGATGCTATATTATCTCCCTTTTCCCCCTCCGCTGGAAGTTGACAGTCACAAACTGCCCAATTTGCATGCAGGTGTGGAAAACCCTTCAAAGTTGGTGAGAGATCAAAGAGACTTACCGCAGTCTCTGGCCTTTGAACTGATATCACCCTTCTTCTTTTCTCTGCGTTCCTTTCTTCGCTCCAATAGCTTGCTTGCTCGTTTTCTTGAATTTCAGTTCTGCAAGTGCTGCGGACAAAAGTGTACACTCTCGACGTCCGGCCTGAAGCTACAGGTGTTCCTACGGCTTCAGAAATAAGTGCAAGTCGATCGCTGCAAGCATAGCTAACTTCTACAGCACGTCCAACTCATCAAAAAGAGGAGCGAATTCACCACCTCAGCTCTGCGCATCTTCTGACATCCTGATTCGTCGGGTGACAACTTCTGCGTCTCGGACGTGATCTATGAAAGAATCCTGTACATCATCAGCTCTAGTTGCATGCACAAGCAATTGCAAGCCTGGACTGACTCACGCTGCTGGTACGCCAGATGCACGCAATCAGTAGGTAGTGTAAAACACACTGATTTCCTGACAGCATGCGCTGGAATGACTGCACATGCTACCTGCATGCAAGTCGAGACCAGCCTACACAAAAGGATGAACAATCTGA